TTTTACTTTACCACTGGTTCGAAAAAAAGCCTCTGTCCTGGGAAGAACAAGCAAGAAACCCAGCGGGACTTTTTTTTTAATAAATTTTCAAGTCACAAAATATCAACAATTTTTTTAGAAACAGCTTGGAGGCGGCCACCTCATTCCCAGGGGTTATCATCAACCATGTATTCATTTATATCATAATAACCATTTTCATACAGTTTTTGTTTAATTAAATATTTAAACTTGGTAATAGAGAGACCTAGTATATTTTGTGGGACTTTGTTGTAATAGCGTATACATTGCTCCAAGAGTGAATCTCTCTGTGGAGTCGAGAAACTGGTAGCACCAGCTTGTGTTTGTTCATAGTGTTTACAGAGTGTATGTTGCTTTTTTACTAAAACTACCTCTGTTTTTGTGAACATACATCAAATTTTCATAGATATACTGAGAGGCAAAGTTAATATACGAGGGGTGATCCAAAAGTAATGATAATGAAAATAAAACACGGTAATTAAAGTTAAAATAATAATTTATTTTTCTACATAGTCTCCTAACAAATCAATACATTTAGTCCATCTTTTTTCTAAACCCAGGATTCCCTTTGAAAAAAATTCTTTGTCTTGACCCTCCCAAAACGCTTCAACAGCGACCATTACTTCATTATCGTCTTCGAATTTCTTGCCTCGGAGGCGTTTCTTGAGCCGAGGAAAGAAGTAGAAGTCACTAGTGACTCCTAGGAGCAGGACTGGCGAATAGGGAGGGTGTTCGAGCAGTCCAAATCCCGTTTCTTGAATGGCAGCCATCGCAACTGCGATTTTGTGAGCCGGTGCGTTGTCTTGGTGAAACAGCACTCCAGCTCGCAGTTTGCCGCCTCTTTTTTCCTTAATGGCCTCCCGTAATCTTCTTATTTGGTCTGCGTAGTAAGAGCCCGTAATAGTGGCTCCCTTTTCCAAATATTCCACCATAATTATGCCTTGAGCGTTCCAAAAAACAGATGCCATAACCTTTCCCGCCGAACTTGAAACTTTGAATTTCTTTGGCGTCGGTGAGGAGGCTCGCTTCCAAGTCATCGATTGTTGTTTCGTTTCAGGATCAAAATGGTGGATCCAGGTCTCGTCCATAGTCACAAAACCTAACAAAAAATTTTCCTGATCTGCTCGGAACTTTTCGAGATTGACCCTCGAAACGATTTTTCTTTTGCTCGTCGGTTAATATTCTGGGTACCCAAAGCGCAGAGACCTTTTTCATATGCAACTCGTTCGCAAGGATTCTTTTAACGCTGCCATATGAGATCCCTGTGACAGGACAATCAGCTACATGCCTGATGGTCACTCTTCGATCTGCCAACACAACATCTTCGACTTTTTTCACGTTGTCTTCAGTGAGGGACGTGGATGGGCGTTCTTCGCGATGTTCATCTTCAGTGAATGTTCTGCCCATTTTAAACTCCTTGGCCCAGCGTGCAACTGTAGAATATGGAGGAGTAGAGTCCTCCAATGTTTCCATTAAGTCACTGTGTATGTCTTTTGAAGAAATTTTTTTCAAACAGAGGTACTTGATGACAGCTCTAATTTCGTTTTTCTCCATGTCGATGTTATCTCTTTGAGAGTTCGTATTCAAATGAATGTATCTCCCGGAAATTGTGATCTATTTATATGATTTTTTAGGCTGACGTAATGAGTGTATAAGCAATCAAAAAATATTTTTTTTGGATTTTTATGCGGACCTGAAGTAACCGATTATCATTACTTTTGGATCACCCCTCGTATTTATTTCTTTAAATTTTTCTCTAAGAGACTCTCTCAGTTTAAGGTTATAAATAGCTTTAATGGCCCTGTTCTGTAAAACAAAAATAGTTTCTAATAATGATACTGATTCTAAATAATATGTACATTCATAGGCCTGATAAAAAATATTCTCATAAATTTTGTTTACATTTGAACTAATCGTAATCGGTTTCTTTACTCATGTGGTAATAATATTACCTGAGATTACTGTCTAGTTACTGGTGTAGGTATAAATAAAATTAAGTACCGCGTAGTATCTATCTATTTCGTGGTATAGTGTTCCTTTGAAAAATAGATACACAAGGCCGCGATCACATTTCAATTAATTATTTTTATATATTGCGTCTACTGTTATACATAGATTACTCTAAAGTTTGAATATGCAGTCATCTGCAGCTTGATCGGATAGACGATCGTAGACCGTGCACCTGACACGCGGTCTCCTATCGACTTAGCAATTTTTTAAGATTTCATTTGTCTAAAGCCTAAATACGTTATTTTTACCTTTTAGTGGTATTTCCTAAACTCTGACGCCAGTTTAATTTACTTATTCCCTGATTCGTATACTCCATATAGCTCACAGTTATTGCCTCACCAGAAAACATGTTACGTTTTCTTCGCTATAGCAATAGTAATTAATTTTCTGCAGATAGAATTTCGTTGACGGCGGCCAGGCGCAACGAAGACTAGCCATCTGTGCAGGACAGGGTTATAGTGCCCGAGTGTTGGCGCTAGCACCGGTGCACTCATTCTCTATTGCTTTACTCTCGTAGTCCGACGGGGCGGCAATCCGACACGACCGGAGAGAGATCAGGCGCAGGACCAACGGCTGTACGTGCTTCCCGAGTGAAACAACTCTATTTTCCTGACTTCGGGTTGCTACTGACAATTTCTTGATAGAAAACCCAATAACTACTTTTATCCTGATTCGGGATTCGAACCTGGGCGACCTTATGATCAGCCACGGCGATAATTCATGGCCACAGAATACTAATCAATTGGTTGACAATATTATACTGCATGGGTCATGATGCTATTGTCACAATTGGACAACTTTCACAATAATATAAGTACCTAAATTAAAAGATAGCTAGGTCTATTGAAGGAAAACGACAACCATTTGATTTTCCGTAATGTTTGTAAGGTACGTTTTTAAAGAAATCTTCATTGAAGATCTTATTACTCCGACGCGTTTCTAGTTTTATTTTTTTTTTTATTATATAATTAGGCTATAGCGCGAGAAGGTCGTCCGACATTATACATTGTTTATTTTTATTTGTTTAGATGACGGTTAGGGCTATTTATTTGTCACGTCATGTCATTAGCTTTTTTTATTCGCATTGCACGTTTGTGTTATTATACGCTTTATAGACAAAAGACTAAATTGTTAGATACATGTTTTACGAACAAAAATAATTTTCGAAAAATCAAGTTAAGACGCCTTATGAACGCAACCTAACAAATTTGAAATGTATTAACTTGTGAATTTATTTTCATCTATTATTTATTCTTTAGTTTCATGTAGATGAACGTTACTTTATTGAAATCAAATATCTATATACATATAAATAAAATTAAAATGTCTGTGAGGAATATTTAAATAACTGGCTTATATTAAACTCTTCTATTAATTATAAAAGTTGCTATTAAAACATAAACAACCATTTAAAAAAAAATTGTCTAGAGGTTTTGAAAAATTGATAAAAAATTGTCTTAAATCTGAATAACACCACATTTAATCTTGATCCTATCCGGATGAAGCCGGGGGAGTCGGGGGGGGGGGGGGGTTTAGTAGTTCAAAACAATTTGATATTTAAGATATTTCGTATAAAGAACCTCATTATTACGTCTCGGTCGCTTATTTGGTAAGTTATAAGTTTTCATTTTCTACATCATGGCACCTCCATTCCATGGAGTAGGATTATGAGAAGTTTCAAACACAACCAAACTCATTAACATTCAGCGCTCGTCCAGGCAATGTGTGTGCTGCTCATGTCTCAATAATGTGTAAAGCTTCCAACAGAGTCGTGGCCAACGATGTTGTGTGATGCTTTTTGATTCATTTTGCTTTCGTCTTAGTAGAGCTTGCAGAACCGGATCTGGTTCCTAATTTTTTATACAAAAAAGAATAGGTTCGGAAGCGGGACTACCGATTCTTCCCGGTTCTGACTGTATTTTTAAAGTTATGTTTCCTAATTTAACTCTTGGTATACTGTTCACCAGTTGGTAGCGTGTATCTACAAATCTTTTAGACACGCAAAAAAACAAACAAGTATATTTTTTAAGAAATTCAGTCTGTTTAGGCAGGAATATTCAAAAAAATTAAAAGGAAACAACTTTTGTTAACTTAGTATTTACTAATCTTAAAAGAATTAAAGAGTAACACTATACGAACTCATGATATAAATTATTTATTTGAAGAACCGGGAGAACCGGAATGCTGCTTGGAAGAACCGGTTCTGTGCAGATTCCAAAAGAACCGGGATATCCCGGGAAATACCGGGTGCATGCCCTGGTCAATAATACTCGTATAACAAAGTGCGATCCCGACACGAATGCGGCTTGATTTATCAAACATTAAGTAACTTTGCCTTCAACTAAAGCTACTGTCGTGTACACTAAAACTAAGGTTGGCCGCTAGTATATCGATGAGGGATAATAATCAGCCGTTCACGAGATGGCGCTGGTTGGACTGAGGTGAAGTTTTGAATGTGAATTATACAATGTAATTTAATTGAGAAGTTAGTTTTAACAAAAAGTTTATTAGTTTCTAGTGCATTATATTAATACACAAAACAGTCGTTTCTTCTTTAATTTTTTGCACATTAATCTTGCTTTAATTTCTCTCTCTGCTTAAAAATAAACCGTGGTTTAGTTTTATTCATTTCTAATCGAATTATATAAAGTATAACTAATATTATAGGCTTACATTTCCCTAACAAATTCACTTCCGCCTCTACGAAATCTGTCAAATATTTCACCTCCTTCCAAATCGGCGCCGGTCTGGTGGCAGAAAAAGTCGTACATGCCATTGTTACATCGCACGAGTCAGTCACTTTACTTAAAAGGCAAGAAGCGATCGCTTATTGAACGCTCCACGTCTAGCTCACTGGAGATGCCCAGGTAGGGGTGGGTACCGCACGTAAGTTGCTTCAGTCAGTTTCTCTGAGTGGCGTGGAGCGATGAATAGGCGTCCGTGGGATCCGGTGCTAACGTGTGGCTACACAGTCGATGCTGACGAGATCCGGCGGCTGGGCAAGCGCTTCCGGAAGCTGGACCTGGACAACTCCGGCGCGCTCTCCATCGATGAGTTCATGTCGCTGCCGGAATTGCAGCAGAACCCGCTGGTGCAGCGCGTCATCGATATTTTCGACGCAGATGGCAACGGGGAGGTGAGTGCTTGCTATTCAGAATAGAATTGAATTTCTTTATTTTGTTTATATTGGTGATGCAGAATATGGTGATACAGGCTCCGTCATATTTTTTCTATCGAATTATGGTGACAAATGAGCCCACAGTCCACCTGATGGTAAGTGGTTGCAGTGACCCATAAACATCTAGATTTATCCTCAATTAAGAATCAAAATGCACATGCATTGTCACTCTTGAGGACTAAGATGGAATGCCTTGGTTTCAGTAAAATGGGTCTTCGGTTATCTACACTCACCATACCACAGCTGCGTTAAGCTGCTATTTTACGCCAGTAGCAATTCGAGACTCCAAAGAACCAAAAGTCTCGAATCCCTGCGAGGGCGTTTGTCGACCGAGTAGTCAAGCAGCGCAAAAAAGAGGGTTTGAGGCTGAACGAACGAGCAAAATATTTAAATTAATATTTTTAAAGTATCTGCGCATTATTAACATCATCACCGTTCAAACTGGTGAAGAAAAACATCATGATAAAACCGGTATGTCCTTGAACCAAAGTTCGATTTACACGATTTTTTAGTAAGTACTTATATAGGTACGTTATCTGGTCAGTTTGTAATAATATACATAGAATAATGAGTAATTTTAGGAAACAAATTAATTAATTTTTAATGATCAAAATTGATATAAAACACGTCGAATTCGCTATTTCTTTACAATTTATACTTTGAATCCATACGCAGTTTAACAACAAGTGTTTTGATCTAAGTATCTCATCACAAGAAATATGAAGGTAAGTTTACCCAATTCTCAATTTACTGTTAAATCTCAAATCATACCATGAGTGGTAATCCGTTGTTCACTTTGTTATTATTTAATTAAATCAATATCTTTCAATTGTTACGGATTTCCCGTTCTAGTATTGTTAATGAAAGTGACACACGCACTTTCATGAATTTCATGAATGTTAATGAAATTGAGTTTGAAGAAAATACTTTCAAATATTACTGCTACCCACTATCCGATGACGATGAACTTTCCTCGTATAATACGAATTACAAAAGAAGCAACGACTCGATCGATGAGTTCTTCACGGAACCGGCAAATTAGAAAATTAAAACAAAAAGATCGTCAACAGTGACTTGAATCATAAATGATCTGACGATTGAAATAATACTAGTTTTTACGGAATTTATTTTTTTTTTTTTTTTTTTTTTTTATTAGGAAACTCAACAGCATATTTTTAACAATCATACTTAAAATACATATTAACACACTTAGCCAATAACAGAGTTTCACAACATGCTGAATAACACTTACAAAGCAGAGAGGTAAAATTGTAACTTAATACATATTATCTAAATACATAATATTTTACACACGATTGCAGTACATGGTTCTATATTATGTGATTTGTATACAATTATGTTTAGTTTTAAATTTAAGGTGACAGCTTTTTATAAAATTAATAAAACAACAAAAATAAAATGATATTCACTGAATAAAATAGAATAAATAATATAAATACATAAAATAAATATGTTACATGTTATTTTGTATACCTTATAGTTCCATTATAACTAATATAACGACATGATTTCCAAATTGATATTTTTTACAGAATTGTGATAATACAGATGGAGTTATAGAATAGATGTACATTATGTGATAGTTACTGCTTCTTAGACAGCTTCAGGATAAGTTTGTGTTTAAAGTTAGACTTAGAAAAGTTGAAAATATCAACATTACTATATTTACTATTATAAATTTTGGGTAGACGAGTCATGACAGCGTTCATGCCGTATTTGGTACGATGTTTAGGTACATTGAAAAGTGGGGTCTTTCTAGTACGGTACTTAGGAGTGCAGAACTGGATACCTGCGAGAAGATTAGGACTATAAATGTTACTGTGAAGGATATCATGCAAAAAACACATATCAAGTAATTCTCGTCTAGATTCCAGCGACAAGAGACCGTATTTAATACACTCCTCATTATAAGTTTCACAACGACGCATGCCGGTTTTGTAATTGAGGTGCTTTATGAAGAGTTTTTGTATTCTTTCCAATCTGTTTATATACAAAGCATATTGCGGCGACCATATGGAGCTACCATATTCTAGAATACTGCGACAATATGCGTAGTAGATAGATCTGAGACTGTTTATGTTTTTAAAAGGTTTACAAGTCCTCATAATGAACCCCAGATTGCGATATGATTTATTTACGATATGGTTGACATGCTCAGAAAACGTCATTTTAGAATCAAGGAAAACTCCTAAATCCTTTACTATCTCAGTCCGTTTTATGCCTTCATTTTTAAAGTGATACGGAAAAACAATTTTATTTTTCTTTCGGCTAAAACTGATACATTGACATTTACTTATATTTACTGTTATATTGTTTCGGACATAATATGAGTGTAAGTTATCCAAGTCACGTTGAATTAGTTCGCAATCTTTAATCGAGTTAATTTTCAGGAACACCTTTTTGTCATCAGCGTAAAGTAGGTGATTTTAAAATTCAAAACATAGATTAATGTCATATATATATGCAGAATAGAAAAGTGGACCAAGGTGTGATCCCTGAGGAACACCTGATGGAATTTGTATGAAATCAGACTTGAAACCACCAATGACAACAGCTTGAGAACGATTAGAGAGATAAGAGGTAGTCCATCTTAGTAAGTCACCATGAATTCCAAGCCTGTACAATTTGTCTAAGAGGATGCTGTGATCCACACGGTCGAAAGCTTTTTCAAAATCCGTGTAGATCACATCAACCTGTCCACAGTCTTCCATCCCACTAATAACATAGTCACAAAATTCTGCCAAGTTAGAGATGGTAGACTTTCGTTTTAAAAAGCCATGCTGATGATGTGAAATGCCTTTTACAATTACAGGGTAAATGTTATTATAAACAACTTTTTCCATCATTTTACTAATTGTGCATAAAATAGAAATGGGACGGTAATTACTTATTTCCATTTTTGAACCCTTCTTATGAATCGGTATAATAAATGCTTTTTTCCACAATGTAGGAAAGACGCATTGGTTTAACGATGTCTTAAATAATAAATATATAGGATATGCCAATGACTCAGCACAGTTGCGTAAAAATACGGGTGCTACTCCATCACACCCAGGGCCTTTAGAAACATCTAGCGTCTTAAGCATATTAAAAACGTCTTCCTTTGTTACGGTTAGACCAGATATTGTGTCAAAGGTGCAACATTCACCGTCACCATTTACAGATCTAGCACACTGAGGGCAAGAACCAGAAAACATACTCTTAAAGTAACTATTAAATTCAGCACATATAGCATTGCCATCAGTAATGGACTTACCTTGGTAACTTAATTGCTTGGGGAATCGAGAACCACCACGCTTCGAATTAACGTATGACCAAAAAGCCTTGGGAGTGAGATGAATCCTATCCTCCATGCAGTTGATATACTTATTAAAACATTGTTGCTGAAGTAATTTTTCACGAGAACGTAGCAAAGCAAACTCATCGTAATCTCGAGGATTCCTAAAGCGTTTCCATTTGTTATGTATCTTGCTCTTTTCATGTATGACTTTTATTAAAGCAGAGTTATACCAAATGGGATAATATTCTTTAGTGCTAGTTTTATTTTTTAAAGGTACAAATTGATCAAGACATTCTTCTAATTTACTGTAAAACAATGTCGTAGCCACGTCTATCGATTTATTCTGCAGCGTACCATCCCAGTCAGTTTGTATAAAGAAGTTATTAATTGCAACATAATCACATTTGTAAAAATCACGTCGCGGTGTGACGACTTCTTTGAAAGGGGTCACAAATAGATCAGTGATGTCAATACACAAAGAAGGGTGATGTTTGTCCTCTGTCAAAAGAGGGGAAGAACATCTTAGAACTTCTGTGTTTAGATTGCAGAATACTAAGTCCAGTGTACGTCTGTTACCATTTAAAATACTATTAAATTGTTTTAAGCCCAAGAAAATCATACCCTCCACAAGCGAAAGCGCTGCATCCTGAATTTCCATACTCATGTTATGAAGTAATTCGTGATGACCATCCTGCCATTTAAAGCACCGAAGATTAAAGTCACCCACCAATAGGCATGTGTCTCCTGGGTACCGCTCAGTTAATGATGTGACAAAGTTGTTTACTTCATTTAGTTGCGATGGTATATTATATGAATCAGGAGGAATATATACCAAAATAATATTTAGGTTACATTTAGTTCCCAATTCACCTGCAGGCAACGTTATACAGAGTAACTCAGTATTAAAGTTAGAACTAAAACCATGCATTTGTCTAGCTCCATATTCACTCCTTATGCAAGCCATTATACCACCACCAGTTTTTTTCTGTGTTTGGGGTAAGTTACGGTCTAAACGCATGACGTCATAACGATTATCACATAATTCAGAACTTAGAATGTCATTCTGAAGCCACGTCTCAGTAAGTAATAGAATATCATAGCTATTGCTCGCAATTTGTTTATAAAGATCTACACATTTCGTTCTAAGTCCACGCACATTTTGATAATACACAGATATTCTTTTGTCCCTCCTAACTTCTGTAGATATATATAATAAGAGAAACTACGATTGACATTAATATTATATTGTATATATAAAGATCACCACAATAGAGAGCCAGCATCGTTAAATTATTTTCTGTATTAAATTGTTGTATAAAGAGTTGATTTATTAGTAAATAACACATCCAGGTTAGGTAAAAAAAATAAATTAGTTTCAGTATAATTTTGGTTATATTAAAGATTATAATATTATGACAATACAAAATAATTATCGTGCACAACCCTTGCTGAATAATAAAAAAATACTTACAAATGCATGCGAAATTGTATTTTTGCAATTTATCGTGATAAACTACATGTGAGCTGCCAACAGTCCAAAACCTTTGAATATTATTATTAATATATAAGAACATCATATAGTCTGCAATCCTAAATAAAACAATACACTCCAACAAACACAACAATACGTAATTATGATATGATTTTGTTGTGTTTT